CCTTTAATTTTGGGTTTTTATTATCCCTTACCATTTTATTTAGTTTAGTTCTTCCATATGTCTGAAAAAATTGTTCAAGAGATATTTTTATTTGCAGTTTTTGTTCCATATAGTTTAGCGATAAGTGGATGAAGAGCAATTGGTTCACCTATTCATATGGGGAGATTCTAGAGAACTACATCTTGAAATGAGATCTAATGCAAACGTTTCCCTATTAGACTTAAAACCAAGCCCCTTTTATATTTTCAGTATTAACTGTAAAAACATCACGTAGTAACTACGACCTTCAGGATGATCAAAACTTGATAAAGACCTACGAATGACCCATCACACGTCTCGTGTATGTCATGCCGTCTTTTATCCTTAAGCTATTCAGATTCTCTTAACCTACTGTGTATGCTTTTGTGTGGAAAATTGAATACATGTCTTTAACTTCTCCATTTTCACTATGTACAGAAATTTGTAGTGACATGTATATTCAACAACTTTGTGAAGGAAAAGATAAAGACCACATTTTTATTTGACGGCGATAGAGTTTATTCGATTTACAACAGTGAATATTAACCAGTCAATAAATTACGTCCATTTTACAACCGATATTGATAAACAATAGATATTGAATGTAAATGTGGTTACGCACAAAGCGTCACCAATAAATAAAAATATGGCATTTGTTCTGATCGTTACTTGATTATTGAATATATATCACTATAGTATACTAAGATATGTCGATAACGGTGGAACTATCATCTTGTTTCTCTAGAGTTCACGGTAAACCTGCAAATTAACAGCACGCAGTGAGATTTTAAAATATCTATGCGCTTATCGTAAGCATTTTGTTAATTGCGTTCCTCTTGTCAGATGATGATCAAAATTACGTTGCTGATTATGAAGATCATTAATAGCTTAATTCTTCAGCTTGCACAAGGCACGAGCCGATTGCATGGAAGGTAGCAACGAGCACTGAAATATCATTTGTTATCTTCAAACCTAAGATATATAGGTTGCTAGTTTTACATTTACCTTCCCATCAAATGGAGAATATTATGCTCAATTATCCGAATTAATAACAATTATGATCAGGAATAAGAAACGCAAGAGGATGTATCATAGATGAAAACACTAAATGATGGAGTAAAATGTTCAGTAATAAAACATTTCGTATTCAAAATAGTTTGCTGCACCATTATATGCCTTTCGTTGCCGAGGTTTAGTTTAGGTTACTCTCTGTCAGTAAGCCTTAAAATTGAAATATTTCCTTTTCTTGCTAAGTCATTTTAAAGTTTATTCAAAGCAGAGACGATTTTACGGTAAACTTTGTGTAATCTACATAGTCCAGAAAATTTTATAACATCGACTAAGTTATAGAAGAATAAATTCTCAGGAAGATCCTTTTGATGTCTTAATTATATGGTTTGATTTACACATATTCAGCAGGAAAGTTTTATCGTATGCCTATCGAAACAGTATACAGTAATGAAATTCCCCAAGATTATTCATCGAAATTCACAGCTCAGGTGTGGTTCATAATATGAACCAATATAAATGAGATTATTTTATTTATTTATTAACAGATTGTTAAAGGTTCAGCTACATTTCCTCCAGAAGCCGGATACATAAAACTTATAGATTTTTCCAGATCCTTCTTATACTTTTATTACATTTACCCATATAATTACCTTGATTGCTTTTTGCGTGTGGAGGAGAATCCTGCTGAAATTCATTAGTAATTCGATTTCTTTTGTGAATAGTTTTGAACATAAAAATCTGGAAAATGTTTATACAGCTTAGTTGAGTACGATAATCTAATTCAGCGGTTTAAGATAAGATTGGGAACTGTTTCTGAAAAATCATGACTATCCTTATGAAATATTTTGTAAACCACTACAAATTTGAATGACATACTCCTCCATAGTAAATGTTTGTTGCTTCAAAAGAAATCTTATAGGAAAGGTTGCCTCAGCAAGTATTTCACGTGCAAAATTAAATATTTGGTGTTGTTGTCAATGAACTAATTGTTTTCACGGAAAACTATTTGATTACTATCATTCGATGTGAATAGAGAAACAAAGAAGCTATGAAAAACAACGGTAGTCATTTTTAGGGATGTTATTTCACTCCATCCAAAGTTCGCAAAACACTAACATTTAGTTTTGTTCCTAATTTATTTTACAAAAAAATAAGCTTTCGTTTGACATATGTTTTACTGCCATATCCTTTTCTGTTCCAAAGTTATTATAATTTAAACGGAACCTTTTGTGCTTTATTTTTCTACCCTAATACCCAATTTGAATATAGTTGTATTTTTCTAATTGTTTGTACGTTGTGATCATGTTAATCATCTATTTATTAACATATCTTTTTACATTAATCTGAACTGGTAATCGAGAAGAAATCGAGTACTGTTCTAATTGACTCGTCTTCTCACTCGCTCTCTGACCTGTCAACCAACAGCCCAAGGATGCTAACCTCAATTTGGACTCGTGCATTTCTAGCATCAAGTTACAACAGTAAGCCTATCGTGTCAAGTACTTGTCCTAGATCGACACAAGTTCTCTCCTGTATATTATCAGGTAGACAGATTAAGGACGTAGCATCATTTCATCAAGATATGTGCAATGGTGAATTAGAAACTGTAAGTTTGATAACCATATGAATCTTATGCTCAAGGAGAAGAATTAAAGATAAGATTTTATACCAATTATTTATTTGTGAAATTATCAGCGATTTGGCTATTTAACTTAATTCACCGACGTTTTTTTCTTTTAAAAAATGTCGATTTTTTAAACATCTAAATTTACACTGTCAGTCATTCGAATACCAATGCACATAAATAGGTTAAATGTTCAAAATAAAGAAACAAGTGTAGCAAGTGTTTTGGCTCAGCTGACGATGAATATTTTGAATAGAGTGAAGATCAGAACAGCTTCAACAAAGTTCAGCTCACAAGTCCATAAAGACCAAACATACGTTGTGGATTTTACTGTTAAACACAACTGAAATTTATCAGAAACATGTAGAATAATCCAAAGCCAATAATCACTCATTCTAATTTATCACACAGAATTTCGGATTCACATAACATATTCAATAGTCACTTCTTTTCGTATACGACGTTTATGTATTACGTTGATAAGCTAACTTCGATTTATAACTTTAGTACATAGTCTTCATTCACTTTCGGATCTTAATTCCATGTGTTCTGGGTTAACGATCACAAACAAACAAGAGAAAGGATATTGCTTGGATTGTGTTACTGATCTTAACATGAGATTTAACGAATGGAAGTAATTTAAACAACTCCACAAAAACATATAAAAAGAAACAAAAAGGATTTAAATGTTGCATTATATTCGACTATCTGTTTTGGCGGTTTGTACTACAAATTGCTAAATGTTGGATACTTTCTGGATCATGTCAGTATTCAAATCACTTTAGAGTTTGTGAGGTAAAATAAAATAAGCTTGAAATAGCGTGAATTATCAAGAGGATTATAGTCAGTTATTAAGCAACTAGGTGCGTTTTATTACATCAATTTCCAAAATATTCCCGTTCATATATATATATATATATATATATATATTGAAAGCCATAGTTTGTAAACGTGTTTCTATCCAGCCAAAAGTTCTTAAAAGTAGGTATCAAAGGACAGTTGCTTCTCAGTTTTTTTTCTTGTTGGAAAATATTTATTATTTCTCGACTTCATTTCAACGTTATTTTAAATACGCCAAGTATTCAACAAAGTATCATGTACTGTAAGCAAACTAAAAAAAATTGTATTTACATCTTGTGTTTATCATTGCAAACAGAAGTAAAAATAAAACTCACTCTCCTGATTAGAATGTATCAAGATAGTTTATTTACTTCAAGTATATTCTACTTTATCAGCAGTAATTCATTCAATCATATCTCTTGCATCAACAAGTATCGATAGCTAGCTTACATGTATTTTAAACACAAATCAATATTCTTAATAACTTCTTGATTGATTGGTTAAAATCATGATTATGTTTTACTGAAGAAAAGCGTCATGTGGATTGAGTTATAAAATAGTTTGCACGCTTGCGGTTATACTGTGATATTCTCGATTTTAAATGAAGCTATTCACATTAACATTTGATTAAAGATTGATTGTATGAAAGTGAGTTTACTGCTACTAATTAAATTATTCCATTTGTTTACTCGTTTTAAATGTTATAATTTCAGTTGATGAATAGACAGAAAATTGATATGATAGAGTTTGGTGTATTAAATATTCATGGTGAAACTTAATTACAAGTATAAGCATAGATACAATGCCTACTAGTCAGATACTGCGATAATTCGCTTGGATTAGATTATTCAATTGATAAATGTACAAGTTAATGATACTGATTAGAAGAGAGTAAGTAAGGGTGAAGTGTTATATGCTGTATTAATTACGATGAATTATTAATATGAGAATAGAGATGATATGGAGAAAAGACAGTTGCTTAATGATTACTGATGATATTTGTCTGATATTGCAGTCGTGTTATTTGGAATGGCTTGATGTAATGCTGCTTTTTATCTAAAATGATAGTTTATTTCAAACAAATGACTAAAATGTGTGTTTGAAGATGGTGGAAATTGTATCAGTACTGAAAGCATGAGATCATCATAGACTATCGCTATTCTCGAAAATGGTAAGTTGTTGTTATCTGTGTAGTTTCCTACTCAGTGAAAATGGCACATGATGAATATCAGGGTGAATATTTGTAAAGTGCTTGCAAACTTTACACACGTATGACTTTCAGTAATCAGTTTTTCCATAACCAATAATGATAAATAATCTTGAGTCAGTTGTACATGCTCAAATGACATACAGTTAAAAAATGTATATTTTAGTTGATGGAAAATCTGTTCATTTTAACAGCGAATTGAGCAAATAAAATGTATGCCAATAAGTTGTACCAACACAGTTGACATTACCTTACAAATATAATTTAGTTCATCGTAATTCGTAATGTTTTCTGTTTTAGGAAAATCGAACCAGGAAGTAAGTCTTCATCCGATCCTACTTTGATAAATGTACTAGTTCTGTTGAAAATTATGTGAAAAACAAATCCTGAAATCTGAGATTTTAGCTCAGCAAATGTCATATAGGGAATGGTAGCTCACTTAAATTTGACGTAAGTAATGTTTGGTTACTACGCATGTGTAAATAAAGTTTTTAATATGAATTATCGTGAGTGTGAATGGATTGATTTAATCATTTCGAACAAACGAGTAATAATGACAGTTTTGTGAATATCACACTGCAGTCATTACTAGATGGCCATCAAATGATTCAAACGAATCTGAGATTTTAAGAAGTGACTCATAAATTCACGTGACTGATGAGTAATTGTACGGATAGTAATTATACTGATGAAATCTTGGGGTGTAAGTATAGTATTAGGTAGAGTTGAATTACTCGAAATGTAGGGAAGGACGGATGACCATGACTTCTGTGTATAAGAGAAATGTGATTTTATTTTAATCATTATTTTAATTCACATTTACTTTTCACATTCCACTGACTTCACAACTTTATATTGTTTGGGATGTTATTTTATTTAATCACATTGATTATGGAAGAAATACTAGACCTATTCCAATTAGCCTATTCGAGTCATATTTCCACGCATAGCTAGAAAAGTAGTACATTGCCTGCAATCTTCCTGTAAATTATGTGAAGGCTTATCAAATACGTTCTACAATCGTCGGCGTTTCACTACTTATCGTTACATTTCCCTGCAGACTACAATCCTCAAATTGATTTGGTTACATTATCCAGTTTACTTACAATTTGGAAACTAGATGGTCAAAAAGATGTTTATTCATAAAATATTGGTTGAAAGTGGAATCATACATTCAATAATTGGATAGATTTATTAGAATTTAATTAGGATTAGATTCAGTGCTTTTCGAAGCCTATGATTTTTTCTGCAATACCGTAGTGTATAGTTTTGTAATAATAATAATAATAATAATAATAATAATAATAATAATAATAATAATAATAATAATAATAATAATAATAATAATAATGGAGACGTCAAATATTGATCTGTGCTCTTGATCTTTTGAAAATTATCTCAGTATGTTAGTATAAACTCAGAAAAATGAGACCGTATGTTCTCACTTTGAATGATTAATGTGTGAATCAGATAAAATTAGATACCTTTTAAACAATATTAGGTCATATCAGTCAAATAATGTAGGCTAAACATCCATATTTACAAAGAATGAAGTTGATGGTGACTGAATTTTGTGCTTCATCATTATTTTGATTTGACATTTAAATAGTGGTTTCCTGAAGTCCGATAAGTACGGGTCAGGTTATGGAGAGAAAAGAATCATCTTTTTTATTCGTTCGAGAGTGTGTTTCAGCACGTTTGTTTGACGTGGTGATCTGTTGAATCTACAATAAAATCAAGTAAATACATGAAAATACATGTTCACAAGTGTAAATAGACCCTAAAAGAAAAACATTTTTATAACAATCGTTTCTATCTAAGTAACTTGTCCTGTGACAATGACGACTAGAATTCATTAAAATGCATATGTTTGAGGACTGTTCAGGCTGTAATTATCTCACAGATATATTAACTCTCTCAGAAAATAGTGACTACGTATGTAGATGATGAAGATAAGAGGAATTGTCAACAAGTAAAGCTGTTCTTTGAACCCTTTGAAATCTCTAAAACATTGTTAAAACTCTTTGTCAACCCTTCATAATTGTACTATATTTTTGAATAGATTCTAGTGAAGTTGATTGTTCAGCTGCTATTGGGAAACGAACATCGTTAAGTCTTCTAAATATCAGTACTAACTGGATAATTTTGATTTAGAGCACGATTTAAAATGATTTTGATTAAAAGTGCCTCTTTACTGGGTAGTTTTAAAATGATGAAAAGCGTTAAGATTGGTTCATCTTACTTACTTACTTACTTACTTACACCTGTTACTCCCAATGGAGCATAGGCCGCTGACCAGCATTCTCCAACCCACTCTATCCTCGGCCTTCTTTTCTAGTTCCATCCAATTCTTGTTCATTTTTCTCATGTCTATCTCCATTTCCCGGCGTAATGTGTTCTTTGGTCTTCCTCTTTTCCTTTGACCTTCAGGATTCCATGTGAGGGCTTGTCTTGTGGCGCAGTTGGGTGCTTTGCTCAATGTGTGTCCTATCCACTTCCAGCGCTTCTTCCTGATTTCTTCCTCCACTGGGATCTGGTTTGTTCTCTCCCACAGTACGTTGTTGCTAATAGTGTCCGGCCAATGGATCTGAAGTATTTTGCGTAGACAATTGTTAATAAACACCTGTATTTTCTGGATGATGGCTTTTGTAGTTCTCCAGGTTTCTGCCCCATACAGTAGAACTGTCTTGACATTTGTATTGAAAATCCTGACCTTGGTGTTGGTTGACAGTTGCTTTGAGTTCCAGATGTTCCTCAGTTGTAAATATGCTGCTCTTGCTTTGCCGGTTCATCTACTAATTAATATTTCAGTATCTTCGACTTTCTTAAAAGCTGAAGTACTGAAATTTATATAAAAGTTAGTGATTAGTATAACTGATCAATAAAACACACATAATGTATAGTGAATAGATACTCATTATTAAAATAATGAATACATACATATGATATAAACTTCAATACTTTTATCCGATCCAAGTTGTTTCGTATATATTGACTGAAAATGGTTTTTTGTTATTTTAAAAGTCAAATTTGTTAATGTACTATTCAACATTTCCTATTTCTCTTATTTTGTTTTAATTACCAAGTTTCAAATACATAAATAAATAAATAAATAAACATATTTTATTAGCTGAGTAATTGTTACTTACTATTAGAATGAGAACAAGTTCAAATCAATTGTCTAATTCACTGAGTGTTTAAATATACCAATATCTGTTGACTATAATTTACCTTTATTTTGTTCAGTAACTAATCCATATAGATTTATATGGAGTCAAATAATTAATTCATTATACAAAATCTATTCAAGATATCATGATACTGAAAATGACTACTTCAATTATTATTAATAAGCTTAGTTAAATAAACATGTTTAAACTTGATCACATTCAAATGGTGAATACATTTGATAGCATCATTTTCAATGTCATTTAATATTCTTATTACGAATGAAACCAACTTTGAAATAAACAAATAAATAAATATTTTTTTCACTGATTGAAATCACGAGTCAATTGAAGCTAGACCATCATAAAGAAACCTCGAAGCACTGAACGTCTTATTGTGGGACGAAACGACCGTCCATTGCTTCCAGGTTTTCTATGGTGGTCTAGCTTCAATTGACTCATGATTTCGACTGTTGAAAAAAATTTGTTAAAAAAAAGAAATGATCACCGTTAAGTAAATATACAATATGATATTAAATCATTTTGAAGTTAATGGAAAGAAATTGAATGATATAATTATTTGAACTTACCAATGTAATAAGCTTAGAAAATTTGATAATAATAATAATATCAGAAGGGGTTTTTTGGAGATTTTAATAATTTCAATAATTGAAGTGATAGGTTCTGGGTTCGAATCACGCGGGTGGTGGGATCGTGGATGAGCACTGTTGAGGAGTCCCATACTAGGACGAAACGACCATCCAGTGCTTCCAGGTTATCCATGTTGGTCTAGCTTCAATTAACTCATGATTTCAATCAGTGAAATTTCTAAAATCTCTACAGAACCTCTTCTGAAAATATTTTTTTCAAAATTATAGAAAAACAATAGTAGTCAATTGATTTTTTTTAAAAAAAGAAAATTACTTAAGATTTATATTATCCTTATGCATAAACAATAAATATTGTAATAAGTATTGATGACAATATGATGTAATAATAAGTAAAAGTTTATTAAGTTATTGCTTGTGACACATGATTTAATGGAAGTTGTTGTCAGTCATGTGAATTATTGTATTTTATTATATATATATACGCATTCGACGATTGTAACTGTTTTCATTACTTAGATATGATCATGTCAGTTAGGGTAGCAAAGATGATATCATCAAAAAGTTGAAAGCAATTCATTTTCATAATTATAAGAAACGCAATGTTATTTAGAGTGTATTAGTCACTGAGTGAACGGAAACAAACTAATGATTAAACATTTATTAGTTTATTGAAGGTTAATCAATATTAATTGGATTTTGATTTTAAGAATTGAATTGTTTTTCTGGTTAGCATTTTTTTAGCAAGTTAGTTTTCTACAGGATGAGGTCTCTAACCCCATGCTCAACCCTCCTCCTTTATCCAAGTCTGGGACCAGTAGTAGCCTCTGAGGGGCTGTACGTGGAGTTATTATACTGAATTAATCAGAATTTTTTCCAGTTAGTAATAATTTGTAGTTAATCACTAATCATTATCTTAATGGCAGCATATACTTGTTATGACAGCGTAATTATTTTGAATAGGAATGATTTGAATTAAGAGAAAATTAGGTTTCTCATGATATGAAATCAAGTATTGAATTGTAAGTTTTCCAGCATACGAAGTGTTTACACGCTTTAATAGTCGGAAATTCTTTCTTGCTGTCTTACTCGAAAGTTATTACTGGACAGATATTCAGAGATTCTTTTTCGAAATCAACAAATCAAAACACAAACCTAATAGACGTAAATGTATGGTAAACTCATTATCATTTTCAATGTTATAAAACTTTTAATGGTTTATTATGAATTAGAAATTGTGTGATTTAAATTTTAGCAGACAAACAGAAAATATGATTGAAATGCAATTAAGAAGTGTCTTTTATAATGAGTATGTTATATTTACATGATTCAATGAATTTATATATGATTGTTTATTTACTACTTATTTATTATATTTAATTTATTAGGTCAGAATGTAAGTTTTTTACATGGAGTTATAAAATTGAGGCACAATACCTATGAATGTAACTTATAATTTGGGTTTACATTTTAAAATGGATCATTAATATACCTTTTATAGAATAGCTTTTTTCATTATTTGTAGTCTATATGGTTAATTGTATTATTGAATAATTTGTCGTGTTTTCAGTTAGCTAAATGTAATATGAACGAACCCATTCTCATCTTACTTTTTGTATCAATATTGAAACGAACATTTACATGTTACACTGATATAATCAATACCGATTAAAGAAATCAGACATGTGACTCAAATGGTTGTGTTCCATTGGTATTATCAGTCTTAATTATCCTAGTTCATAATATTAAAAAATAACATGCTCTGAATTAGTGATCACGTTTCTTATCTGAGTAAATGATCGATTTATAGTCTTCTGAACTCCAGTTGTACTTTGAGAACATTCAAAAGTTATACATTTATTGAGAGTAATAAAATTATGTTTTCTAAAATCCACTCGACAGTTGTATTTGCAGCCTCGTAATATACTGAGAATTATGACTTTTTTTATATTTTTAGATTTTAACTCAACTTGTGGGAAATATTATTGAAGTTGAATGTTAATTTGTCGGAGAAAATTTAAACCATTGTGGTTTTCTAAAACTGCTTTTGCAATCGCTGTTTTAGGATTACCTCCATTGTAAGCTAATTATATGAATTCTTGCTTTAAATATTTATTTTAAAAAACTACTCAAAGAAAGTGACATCGAGTTGACAGTAATTTGATAGCATATATGAAGCACTTTGTGTAACTATAATTCTCAATAAAAATGTCGAATTTTCTTGTGGTTAATATTTGCTATATAGTTATTAAGCCGATGAGGTTTGAAGCTTGTCTTTAAATCTGCTTGAGTTGCTTTGATATGAATATATTTCGAAAATTACACTATTTGAATTAGTATTGACAAATGCATCAATACATCTATGCAGAAATACGTAAGCTCAGAAACACTCGTAGCTTAGTACCACAGGATGATTAAAGAAAAAATCTTAGTAGATAGATAAACTTGAAAACCGATTGCTTACTAAAGTCCGTATTAACATGAATCATTTTTCAAACAAACAACTAATGACAAAGATAAGGAAATTATTTTCTCAAACATCAATGGTGGATCGGTAACCTATAGAGTAGTATAGTATCTAGTACCGTGTTAAGCCCACATGGGTTATTCTAGCTTCCAAACAAACCAGTTTATTCATTCTTCTCAAACCACATTTTTACTTTGTCACTTATTCACTTATTAACCTTGACTGGTTTTCTATGAGCTTGTGAGTATCACCCACACTATTCGTCACATATCTTTAGCTTATTTTTGTCTAGTTATAAAGGTCGAGTCATGCTTGATCAAATCGAGTTGGCTCACTCGAATTTTCCACTTTGTTTCCCTGTTTTTCATTGTGGATGTGTGTTTGTATAAACAAGTGCTTGAAACGAATTCATCCAACGTAACCCGTATTTGGCTTGTTATTGCCACTATCAGATAAACGATGTTAGCCTATGTGTAATAAACGAAGTTAAGTGACAGATTTATGTTCATCATATATTTATTCTTTAAAAGTCATAACTCATTCTCATTTTTATCGGACTTTCATTGTGCAAAGACATGGACAATGAGTAAATTTGGAAATTCAAAATCAAGTTTACTTCTATTATCTTTTCTATAACGTGATTGTAATTTACTTGACTTAAAGAAGCTTTGTTTTTTAAACCACCCAATTTTGTTAGTTTATCATTGATGAATTGAGCTACATACTGAATAAACATGATACACAATTTTCTACAGGCTCGTAGATTACTTTTCAAAATCACTGTATAAACTACTTTTAAATTATTATTACTTATACAGAAGGAAAGAGTTTCTTAACGAAAGTGTTTTGATAAAATTAAGGTCTTTATCATAAAGATAAACTGATAAACAATTCATAAAAGTGTGTATAAAATATCAGAATGATGTGTTATATTGACAACAGCTATATTACAGAGATTGATTTACTTTTTTAAAGCAAAACAACGTATACAAAACTGATTTGAGGTTTTTCTCATGAAACAAGACCGTTAATTGATAGTTCATTCTTCCTGTTGGGTATGTCGATGTCTGTATAACAATTTTTTCTACTTACAATTCCTCAGAAACACATCTGGTTACTAAATGTCTGTGAATGATGGATAAATGAAGATGAACCATAAACTATGACAAGTCAGAAAGCAGTGAATAGCATTTACCTGCCGAAGAGAAAATCCCAGTAGCGTGCATTTCTTGCTCTCATGATAATGTAGTATGAAAGTACCTGTTATTAGGTTCCATAGAATCCAACTTCATTACATTTATTTAACTTCATACTTTCTTTACGTGCGTTCATTTCATAATATAAATTTGCACATTCATATGTACATATCTCAACAGAATTAATTATTTTTTTCCTTCTGAAGGTACATAGCATCTGTGCATTATGAGCATGTAAATAGTTTATTCCCATTTGTTAGGTAAGTTTTTGTACTAATTTCGTTGTAACAAATTAGAAAACCAGTTGTAAAATCATTATCACATTAATATACTGGCTGATGTTTACTAGTTACTGCTGAAATACTGGGAATACGAAACGAAATATGATGGGCAGAAAATCATTAAGAAAAATACGATTAATCAAGCTTTTTATAAAATATGCAATGCTCAATGAAACAGAAAATGAATCATGTCTCCTAAACTTATACTACTGCAATGATCTTGGTATTGAGATCCAGCAAAGTTTTAAATTAACTTTAACTGGTATAAACATAAGGTATGGGTATCAGATGTTTAAAATCCAAAGAAATTAGCTAGGTTTAAGACAAGGTACATCATTTAAAATCATAACATATGAATCAAGGGTTGTTTGTCATATAAAATAAAATAAAGTTGTTAACATTGGGATGACTAATATGAAGTGTTAACAGTTTTTGGTAGAGTTTTGTTCGCTGAGCTGGATGCTTTGGTCGTTGAGCTTTCATATTTATTCTGAACGACATCATCAACACAAACTTCAGGTAGAAGTGTAGCGTTCGAATTTCTCCACATGTGGTTTACAGGATGTCCTCTAGACCTCGATATTAATTGGTTATTGTTGACCTTTAACCTGTCATTGTTTGCCTCTCTATTTTGATTGTACATCCCAATAATTTGATTACTGGTCATATATCATGGCATTTGACCGCCAATTCATGTCCGTGCAGGCGAAGACAAAGAGGGCGTCTGCTTTGTTTGATGTGGTGTTTTTCGAAGTTGGAACAATTATTTTGTAGATGATGTTCGGTTTTTCTTCTTTTGTCATTTCGTTCTTTGGTTTGCATAGGATTGATCGAAGTGACTTCGTCGGTTTGTGGGATACACCAATTCGAAAAGGTTTCGGAAATGTCGTTGTAATTTCTGATGTGTCTTTTACATATGGTAGAATGAGAAAGTATTTGACAGTGTGGATAGAAGAACCTTATGGAACCTTCTTCGACTCTATGGTGTACCTGAGAAAATCACCAATATCATACGGAATTTATACGACGGACTACAGTCCCCAGTTGTGCATAGAAGATAGCGGACGGACGAATTCCAAGTGAGGACTGGAGTCCGACAATGTTGCTTGTTCTCATTATTTCTTCTTCTTCTTCTTCTTCTTCTTCTTCTTCTTCTTCTGTTGTTTGACTGGATTATGAAGACCTCCAAAACTCAGGGGAGTCACGGAATACAATGGATAGCTTGCATGCAAATAGATGATTCAGAATTCGCAGATAACCTAGCTCTTTTATCCCATCCATAACAACAAAATCAGGTCAAGACAACTAGTGTAGCAGAAGCCTCTGCATCAGTAGGCCTAAACACAGAAAGGAAAAAGCAGGATCCTTAAACGCAACACGGAGAACACCAACTCAATCACACTTTGTGAAGAAGCTTCGGGAGAGGTGCAATCCTACACGCACCTATTGGGGCAGCATCATCGATGAACTAGGAGGATCTGATGCAGATGTAAAGGTGAGGATTTGCAAATTAAAGGCAGCATTTTTACAGTCGAACAACATATGCAAATCAAAACAACTGTCAACCAAAATCAAAGTCACAATCTTTAATACGAACATAAAGACAGTCAGTTTTATTGTACGGAGCTGAAACTTCGAGAACTACCACAACCATCATCAAACATTTACAAGTATTTCTAAACATTTGTTTACGTTAGATACTCATTGTCCGTTGACTGAATACCATCAGCAACAGCCTACTGTGGTGGAGAATAAACCAGCTTCTAGCTGAGGAGGAAATTAGGAAAACGCGCTGGAAGTGGATTGGACATACATTGTGGAAATCACCAAACTGCATCACGAGGCAAGTCCTAACTTAGAATCCTGAAGGAAAACTGAAAAGAGAAAGACCAAATAACACACTGCGTCGGAAATCGGGAGGAGGCATCAAAAGGATGAGGTAGCAAATGGAAAGGATTTCCCAGGATAGAGTATGATGGAGAATGTTGGTGAGCGGCCCGTGCTCCTCGATGAAAGGTAACAAGCGTGGGTAAATAAATAATAAGAATTGCATACTGTATAGTTTTGACTGCGATTTCAACGAAATAACATCATTTTTTTATAATGCCACCATGTTTACTGTTCTGTGTTTTAATTCTAACCAACAAACGACTGCTGAATTCTTTATAATTAGATATCTACCGATAAATGCTCGAAAACTGGAAAGTGTTTATTCAAAAATCACGAGGTTTCGGAATCTCTATGCATTCAAATGAAAATGGGTATCATAAGATTAATGGGAATTTAGTTGCATTATTGGCAAAGTCACTAGTTTAAACTAGAAATGTGAAACAGCATAGCAACAATTAAACTAAATTAGTGTGTTCAAAGTAACTGCTATGTTATTGATTTAAAGTCTTCAGTATCAAAAGAATTAAATAAAGCAAATATAACAATGGATTTTGAATACGTTTATTTCATACAATCGTTGTTATGAACACAAAATCAGAGGTAGATTGAAGGCAGCAAATAGGAATGAAACAAGGTGACGCGCAGACATATGATGAATAGGGTAAGTAATTAACACACATACGATCATATAAAAAAAGGTCAGGCTTAATAAGTGAATAAGTGACAAGCTAAAAATGTGGCTTGAGAAGGATGAATATATTGGTCTGTCCAGGGGCTAGAATAACCTATATGGGCTTGAAACAGTACCAAACCCTACACTATGATAACCATCATCAGAAATTATGATGAGTGACGATTGATGAAAGTCTAAAGAATAAATTTAAGCATCACATGTTTAAATCACATGAGATTACAAAATATGATAGAAATTCAAATTAGTAAGGAGATTGGAATTCTGAAATCAAAATCATTGACCACAAAACAATTGTTTTAACACTTAACAAGTTGAATAATCAATCAGTGATCTGAATAAAGTAAAAATCAATATCTTTACATAGCGTTAGGTCATCATAATCAAAAATGACAAACCAATCATTCATTAACGAAGTTAATCTCATATCGAATAGGTTGGACTGATAAATGATGAGAATGATTTTCTGAAAAACTATATGCAAAGATAGTTTACTGGAATTTAATACTTTTGATTTTGATGGCAAATAATGAAGGGGATGTTTAGATTTATTATTACTCTTTATACTTATGGGATGTCTATAAATACCTTTTACTTAATTAGAACAACTAAAAGTATTGTAAATTACAAACTCTAATTAATGTTTTCGTATATTCAGAAAAAATGGGTTTTCTCAGTTTTGTAATGTCATTCAAAAAAATTAATTAGTTTCTATCTCTTTAAAACACATTTGAATAAAATAGTTTTCACAATCACAAATCGGTTTCATTTAAACAGTGTTCTGCAAATCCTTTGCTTATATATTTATAGTTCATTTGGCGTATTTCCACCAGAAAAACATTGGTTTCGAGTGCTGATGATTAGCTATGCTCTATTCAGTGAGTAATGTGATTTACAACACGTTTTAAAGCTATGTAAATTCAATTAAAGGTCTATAAGTATATGTAAATACTTTCTCCAGAAAGATTGTTTTTCATCAAAAGAAATTAGGCATTTTCCAGTACCCGTTAAAAGTTATTACATATTAGTACACTGTTTCTGGATCAGCTTGACAAAATTCAATATTTAACACAATATACTTCGATCTCATAAATTCGACCTCATCACTGAATCATACTCGACTTAAGATCTGTGAAAAATGGATATCTACCAAAGTTGTTTCAGTGTATCAGCAAAGAGAGATTGGATTACTGTGGTGAATGGGAAAGGAGTCGTTATCACAATGGTATCAGATATAATTATTAAGACTAGAAATGGGCAGTGTCACATGGAAATCAGGAATTAAATTCATGAACAAAAGGTGTAATGCAATATTAAAACTCAAATGATGATGAGAGATACACATTTTCATAACGGCAACGGGATTTTAACCATGCTAATCAGTTCCCTTATAATTCATGAAGAAAATCTTTCCATAAATTTGAGACTAGAGGTCCAATCATGGAAATTTCAAACAATGATTAAGTGGTTAAATTAGTTTCATTGACGCAGTGAATGTATGTTTTCATTATTTGTTTATTCTTTAAATATTATAGGTTTTCTGAGTGGATAGTAGGTATCTCATCATTTTTATAAAGAGCAATTATGTACTCTAATTCTCAGTGATTTCCGAAGAATGGTTGAAACGATTTTGAAGAAAACATTTGTCGGCTGCTATACCAAGCCTACATAGCTTATTCTAGCTTCTGGACAAAACGATTTATTCATTCTTCTCATGCTACATTTTGACCTTATTAATTATTCGCTTCACATCGATTCAATTCGGCTACAGATACTGAGTAACATTTAACTAAAATAAATTGGCTCACATGACTTCTCCAGTTAATTTCTCTAGACTATATCCAGTTCGCATCCTTCGTTCTCTCTCTCTCTCCCTGATTGTCCGTTCTGATCCACAATTGTACAAAATAATAGGTACTCGAAATTCATTCTCGTATTCGACTTATTTAATTCCGTTAATCACTAACGCGAGTTAAGTCGATAATCCTATACGAGGAATGGCAGAATGTATATTTCAATAACAACAACAATAATACGATTTAGATGGAGTGAGATATCGGGCCACTAAAAGTGATGAGCCTGTCGATAACATCATCGTCTGATCTAATTGACGTCAAAATGAAGGGGCACACTAAACAAGCATTTGCACCAGTACACAGTTATTGTGTGTAGCTGTATTTCGCTATTGTGGTAATGCTTGTATACATGTGATAGATCAAATGATTTCGAATAATGACATTTATAGAAGCTAGTTGCAAATAATAACGACTAAATAGCATGAACAGTATGCAAATGAGTTCATCAGCATCATTTGTTTAGCTGATTTGTGACCAGTTTCATTAGTGAATGTAACGATCGTCGATTGTCGATACAGAATAATTTTAATGTGAAAATTTTCTCGTTAAGTAATGATCTTCACTTCTATTAAAAGCAGTGTGGTTGGGACATATTGTTCAACTTATATTTATATATATGTGACACATTACATAGTGTTTTACTTCGTTCACTCGTTTTTAGATATGGCAGGAAACTGTTTTTGGTTCATGATAGCTAGACGTAAAATTGTAATTATGACCAAATCTCTTATTCCTCATCTAATCAACTCATTTATCAGACTATTAATGATCATTTCTGGATTGTGTTTAATCGGTCTATCGATTTTCGATGTGAGTTTATTATGTTTTTACTCGTGAGTAATTTATAATATTGCTAACATAATAGATTGTCAACTATAATCATGGTTTTAATGAAATGTTGTGCTAAAGTAAAGTTTTACAATTTCTCAGGAGAGGATTTAATTTATTTTGTTTTCTATACTGACTAACTCAATACAGACTCACAAGCAATACTTTACTCACTAACACAAAATGTCAATAACAATAGATAATGCTAATTAATTACTCAATTGAAATTTAATGAATTTCCTTTAAATCTGTGATTTAATTAAAGGTTAAGTTGTTTTAGTTAGTCAGAATATTTCACTTGTAATAATCCATTTGTGCTTTCGATGGACCTATATTGGGGGCAGTCATAGTTTAGTGAATAAATTGCAAATGATTTATGCTACTACCTTTATTTATCACCAAAAATGGAAGGAAATGATTCTACTTCAACTGGTATCTACGAAACCTGTTTATTCACAATATGAAATATCAGCATTTTAGCCGTTTCTTATGTTAAATCAGATATTTTATCATTTTGTCTTTCACCGATTCATAGCAAAGTACAGGTTTATGTAGAAATCTAAGACGTACATTTTGTCCTATTCAGGACTCGTCATTTTGGCATATCTGCATCTCACAGTTGATGTTAATCGAAAATGTCAACAATGGGACAGTCGAAACCGTTATTAAATAATTTAAAATACATTTTTTAAATATCCGTATGATTTCATTGTTCTGAACGGATGTCGGTGCAAACCTCTTGTTCTTGAACACACAAATCACAGTTCTTTTTTCTTATTTACTGCAAGAAATTTCGGAAATGAATTGTTACTATTGTCATCAGATCTTGAATTGTTCCGCATAGAATAACAACACATTCGTTTTCGCGCATTAAATGTTTCAATGTACTGCTTACTATGTTAAAGATACGGAAAGCCTAGTTATTGATGGATTGGTTGACATCAGATTAATAAATCGACAGGATTGATTCTTAATACATAAGACTGTCGCCAGTTCAAATTCTTTAAACTTATGATACATAATACTACATATTATTTGATTTCATTTGCTTGTTTGGTAAGACTTCTTTTAAAGAAAACAGCTGAGTTCACGAAGAGTTTTATGAGCTTTTACGTGAAACTGAAACGCGGTAGATCTCGGCTTAGTAATAAACAATTATTTTTGAATATGGCCTTTATTTATACCATAATAGTTAAGTTAAAGTTCATCAGTAACCAGATGTATTTCCAATAACTATAATATTATCTTTTCTTGAAACTTTGGATCGTTCTTTGAATAACTTTGGAAAGTTCGCTTATTTACCAACAGTTAGATAAAATACAAGATATAACAATCCACGCTTATGGTATAACAATAGTCATACCTATACACGAATGAATCCATCGGCTACACTTTGTACTTGAACTTTTGCCACCTTGTGTCACAGTCAGAGACGTCATCACTGAGCTCACAGTTTTCTGTTAACTTCCACCGTCATCAAAAACAGTACAAGCTACATCGAATTAATTAGTCCAGTGATCATCTTTCAACTGATAAGTGGAATTCAGTCAAGACTGGGTACTGAACAAACATGATATTTTTTGCTACCCAGTAGTGAATCACTGTTAATAACTAAATTAGATGTTTGATCAGAGTTTTTATAATCAATGAAATGATATGACTTAAAACTGAAGTCATTGTTAGTTTATAAGAGCACAAATAATTTTAACTTGACAAATTTAAGTTTCAAAAGTTATAAATGAGTAAGAAATATGCAAGTTAGGAGCACTAAAATGAAATAGGTTGAAATGAATTGTTAGAAATTTGAATAGGTTTTGTTTCACTTTAATTCTTCATGAGTTTATTTTATTTCCAATCTACAGATGGAGAATTACAATGAAATACACTATCTGATGACAGTTGGGAACTTTACGTGTCATGTCCTGTCGGTATTGTTTGGATGTTGCCTAGTGGTCAAATATTTTGAGAAACCTTTCTGGTTTAGTTGCTTTCGCCTTCTGCTTATTGTACAAATGGTTATCGGAGCAATGTTATGTGAGTTTCTAGATATATATATATATACTGAAAATGTAAAGAATAGTTTTCGTCGAAGAAAATCTTGCAATGATGCTTATCTTGATAATTTTTTACAGAAAGTATTTATCAGTACGCTAGTAGTAGTTCAAATGTTCTCGCCCTATAAAGCTACCCGTTGTTACAATATAAAATGCTGTGCATTGTATGAGTATTAGATGACAAATCAATACATTGATTTATCTTGTTATTCAAAAGCCGAAAATTATGTTTAGAATTTCTATATTCAAAGACGCTTTCATTAATATGCATCAAGAATTGGAATGAATTCAGGTTGAAGTCGATTAAACAAACATGTGATGATTAGTTATATTTGTTCCCTTTGAAAGCTCATAAATAATTTGTAAACTAATTCGAAGGACATTTCATAAAACGTAACGTGAAGTACTGCGAACTTAATTAAGCTTCAGAATATACAATAAAACTACCTACAAGTAAAAATCCGTAACAGATTTGAGATGGTTTGAGTAACATTAAACTGGTATCATTACAAGTAATTCATTGCTCAAATCTTGAAACACAATTACTTGAGGTCCACCACCACAACGAAGTGGTTAGAATACACTTTCCTCACTCTCTGACTTTTTCTCAATAAACATTTTATTGATTAAAATTAGTTATATTTATAAATGACCTAACTAAATGTAAGTGTTGCCATTAGAACCTAGCTGTTGTACATTATAGATAAGTATGTGGTCGAATTAAGTTTAGAAATTAGGAATGATGAATTAAATTCATAATAATGGCAAACGTTTAATGAAAGTTTATGATTACAATAAATAAAGATTGAAACTAACATTTCAACAGTCAATCAAGTTTAATTGCCACCAATATTTGTTTGTATGCTTCTAGTTGTTTATTTCAACGTAATCGGACTTCCTTTATTGAATACATCGAATATTTATCGAATGAAACCAACTGATGGTGTAAGTTTCCACTTTGTAAATATTATGGATGAACATGCTTTGAATTTTGAGTGAATTAACACTATCGGTTAGTGTGGATTGGTTAAATTCAGTCCGTCAATTCAGTGTGGATTGGTTAAATTCAGTCCGTCAATTCAGTGTGGATTGGTTGTGTCTAGAAAAATATTTTCTGAAGTCGTACAGACTTGACCGAGCTTGACTGAATGAACATAAGCTGTGTTAAGAAAGATGGAGAGTGGTATCATTTATTGATAGATATGGAAACACAGATGTGTAAACTAAGAATTTCCTTTTCAATGAATTCTCTTCAGGCCCTACAATTAGATATCCAATTTAATAATATAACTTGTTCCACAAGAGTAGTTGAATTGGTAGATACAGAAAGAGGTGGTTAGTCTAGGCAATCTATCTTTCAATCTCGAAATGATCATAAGACGTGTAAACACAATAATTGTGGTTTACCCACAAAAAAATATTTCTTGAATTGCTCTGTGCAACTTTAGCATCAGCATTTCGCTGGGTGAATTGACTCTAAAATTTACGTATATACAGCGAATTTTTGATCACATTTAGGTCTTCCTTGTTCTCTCTTTCCTTAGCCGAATTTTTATTTATAAGTTTTTCTGAATGTCCGTTCTCATTCAGGGTAGTACTTAATACCTTTGTTTCCTCTTCAACCACATATAGCCTTGATTCTATGGAGAAGCGTTTTAATAAGGTTCCCTTTATATTATGGAGGAACAAAACTAAGAAAATGTGTATATTGGCCGGTCCAAGTCATTTTCTTGTTTAAGTTTCGCCTTAGTGACCAATCTACTCTCTTTGTATGTAGAACACCTAGAAGGGCTGTTCTACTTCTATTTTCTTCCTCACATGTGAATTTAATAGACGGATGAACTACATTAAATACCTTGGTGTCTCTATTAGGTCAGTATAGTAGTTATATAGCATGAACTTATTATCTATATATCGACAGTAAAATGAAAACTTATCATTCTGTTATATCAGTAGACTATTTTCTAGTCCAGTGAAAAAAATCTAACGGTGAACTCATCGCTACATCGTCTATTTGTCAATATTATTTTACCAGTGAATTTGAAGTTTACGTTTACAGTACATTTTATTAATAACTCCACATCCACATCCACAGGGATTGCAGTCTCTATTACTTGTTATCTTTGTTCACAGATACATTCAACAGTCTCCCTGAGTGAAACATCGGTAATCAACGATGTTATGCCTAAAGAAATCATCGTTTGTCCTTTAGTGTTTACGTTTTTGATCTTGTTGACAAACTGGAATACATCCTTAATACTATGCTTCTCTAAGCATTAGTGGGGTGGTTTTAAAATGGTTATTAACCGCTTTTCTACAATATGATAAAGAAAATCGTACATGTTGAAATTTAGTCTTAATGAGATACCCGGTTTGTTGATCTTCGGTAGGCCATATGACCTAGGAAATTGACTGTTTTTCTATGAGCTTGCGAGTATCGCTCACACTATTCGTCACATATCTTTAGCTTATTTTTGTCTGGTTATAAAGGTCGAGTCATGCTTGATCAAATCGAGTTGGCTCACTCTAATTTTCCACTTTGTTTCCCTGTTTTTCATTGTGGATGTGTGTTTGTATAAACAAGTGCTTGAAACGAATTCATCCAACGTAACCCGTATTTGGCTTGTTATTGCCACTATCAGATAAACGATGTTAGCCTATGTGTAATAAACGAAGTTAAGTGACAGATTTATGTTCATCACATATTAATTCGTTCTTTTAAATTGGATTCAGATCAGCTAGCCACTAAGACATTATTATCGGTGTGTTATTTAAATTCATTTTGTTCACTAATCTTACAATTTCATTTAAAATACAAGCCAAATCACGTTAATATCTTATCTCAGTCATCTTAAATTTAACAGCTTAATGTTATATTACAAACAAACGTAAAATCATATGTTATAACTGCAAACGGTGTATTTGTCTCAAAACTAGCTTTCTTTCGGATTATTAGTTTTGAAATCATAGTTGGTGAACTTGATCAGATCTGGTAACCACAACACTAATGTTGAAATTTATGTAAGAGAGTATTTTGTGCTTTAACTAATATTTTATTCATTTTGTCAACGTGTTTAGGGCTACTGGGAATTCCTTTATTGTGCAATTGCTGAGTGGGTTATGGTGCTTGCATGTATTCTATTCACTCTAGTCATTGCTCTGGAAACTCAAACATATGAAGACGTTTTAGTACGAAGTAAAATCAGAAATATTACCACAATACACCTTATGAAACAAGTTTAAAATATGTCAATTGTTTTGAGCGACATCTTGCACTCACTAATCTTTAAACAAAATTGATGAATATATTGATGAATAGCGAGTTGATCATTTCTTTATGAACTAACTGGTGAGAAAATCGAAAACTTGGTTCTTAATTTGTTTCGAAAGTCAGTTGGGGAAACATTTAAATCGGATGTAATTTGATTTTCACTTACATCAGTTGAAATTTTGATTATCGCTTGGAAATACCATGGTTGCATGTGTGTCCACATTTAGCAAACAATCTACGGAGAATTTGAAATTGGGAATGACAAAGGTTATCAATAATAACTATATATATATGCAAGAAGTTAAAGGTTATTTGGTGTTAGAATCAAGGAAACATTAGGGATGGGTGCTGCAATTAGTTGAATGAAGTTCAGAGACAGATAAGATAAATTATGTGATAATTTCTGAAGTAATGAAGGGTTTACATAAAATTCATGGAATTAAAAAAAAACTGACTAGATGGGTTACGTTATAATTGAATAGGATTTGAAAAGTTTACATAATTTAAGAGAATCGAGTGAATGGAAATGTATGAGTTAAGGGGTGGTTTAAGAATTCGGTGATGAAAGAGATATATATAACAAACTAAAACATTAACAAAGTAAAACTGATGACCGAAAATTGAATTACCAGGGTTGTAATAGGTTTATCACTGTCTCTTTTTGTATACACAAATGAGGTTTGAGTGTTTTTCTTATCGCTATCGCTTCAGCAAAACAGAGAGAAGTAGTATTTCTTTGTCTGCTAATAATTTTAAAAGCATGAGGAATGTCAGTGGTGTGGCTGGTGCCAAGTAAATGCTGAGCTATTGCAATTTTAAGACCCTTAGTCCCTCGTAGTCTCAATTTCTTTGGGACATGCTCGGAAATGCGAACATGTAATCTCCTCTCGGTTCTTTCAATATATGTGCTTCGGCATGTACATGTAAATTGGTAAATACAGTTGGAACTTCTGAGAAAAGAGGATCTGTCGATTTTAGTTTGTTTGAGCGAGCAATTCGTTTCCCATAGCATCGTCAGTTTTGCTGCTGGATAGGTCATCTTCAACGCGGAATTTATCCTGCGATTAATTATTTCAGTGATTTCATCTCCCTTGAAGCCTAAGTGTAAGAAGCAGGTTTTCTTTTCTATTATATTGTACTTGACCCGAGGGTTGGTTTGGCCATATTTCTGGATGAACTTCACCGTATATACATTTTCACGTAGGTAATTTGTAATGAGGTAAATTTCATCTTCCAGGCATTCCTTTGAGCGAATTTTGCTTGCGCGGTCAAAAAGGGTTCGCATGATACCCTTTTTGTAACTCATTGGACAGAAACTATGATAATTGAGATAAACTCCACTCCAGGTATTTTTGCGGTGAATGTGTCTTTGTAATGTGCCGTCTGATGTTTGTCTGATTAAAATATCTAGGAAATGGAATTTATCTTCTACTTCATGATCCATAGTAAAATTAATATCCTTGTGTGCTTATTAAACAGACTGAATAGGTTCATGGAGTACTTATGATTGTTGCAGACGAGAAACGTGTCATAAATATATCTACAGTGGCGTGTAGTTCCATCAACTACATGCTTGAGCTTCTTCTGTTCCATGTTTCTTATAAATATGTCGGCCAGAATCGGACCCAAAGGAATACCCATGGCTTCTCCATCAGTTTGGCGGTACAACACGTTGTTGAATTGAAATTGTATGTTTTTGGTACACAGAAACAGGAACTTTTTGAATTCATGGGTTGGTAAAGTCAGAAGTTCAGGAAATTCACATATGATATCTACCGTTTCTTCAAACGGGATCTTTTTGAAGAGTAAGGAGACATCAAACAAAACCATGAATTTATCAGAAGCATTTAGGCTATCAAGCTTTCGTACAAATCCGAAACTATCCATCAGACTGTAGGGTGCCAGTTTCTTACGGCTTGGTTCCAAGCACCTTGTCAACCAGGAGGCGAGTTTATGGAAGGATGATTTGGTTATAGATAATATTGGTCTTATCGGGATGTCGAGTTTGTGTGTTTTAGGTAGACCGTATAAGTAAGGTAATTGTGATAACCTATCAATCCCGGTAATCTCATTTCAAGAATTTCTGCATTTTTAAAATCAAATCAAACAGAATTGATGAGCGTGTTTAGGTCATTAACATACTTGTAATACTCATCTAAATTGTAACAGAAAATAGTCAATTTCAAAACTTTTGAATTCTTTTCGAAAAAACATAAAAGGAATGTTGTAGATGCGTGTAACAGGATTAGAAATTGAGATATTGGTTGGGAAAGAAACATTTTAAGTATATTAGTTACCAATTATGCAAAACAATAATTAGCTTAGAAACTGATGTAGCATTAATCCATAACTATTCTATGGTTTTAATAACATCAGAGAGTGTATGTGATTTGAAGCATGATATAAAGTAAAGAAATCGTCAACTCCGCACTGGAACCCTATAATTTATTCTACATGGTGCACACATGCACTGAGTTTGTTGCAAATTCATTTATTTTTATTTGTAAAGCAGTGATGAGGCTAGTGGGGTTGATGGTCATTTTGTGATAACCAACCAAGTTACATTGCAAATTCGAAAGATGCAGTTGTTTTCCATTCATTTACATCGATTAGCAAAACTAACTGCAAAATTATTTCCAATCATATTCCAAAGATTTAGATGACTTATTCAACTACATTGACAGTATAGGTATGCTCATCCAGTTATCTGAATCACCATGTAAGTTACACAGCCGAGAATATCCCTTTTTCCCCAAAAAATAGTTGGACTGAACTTTCTGATTTCTTTTCGTAACTAAAAATAGATAGGGGTCCTAATGAGTGGTGTCACATATGATTATGATGAACTCAATAACTTTACTTCTCCAGCACGCTAATATGACTGAGCTGGTTACAGATAAACATAATTACAAATACTGAAATATCTTTTGCTACCTTCCTACCCAATGCATGCCATTTGTCAGTTAGTTATGCAACTGTATCTATGTAATGTCTGCTATTATCATCTGCAACAAGAGATAAAGAGGGTGATACATAGAAGATATTGAATGGAGAAAGAAAATCTTGACTTATGAGAACTTCCATACAATGAATTTTTCGAATACTGCATGTGTCAACATCTATAACTAGTTAATAATTTTCAGTAGGTTTCGATTTGTTGGTTGAATTCTGTTGAACCTTGGACTCGTAGATAACAACAAGGTTAAGAAACGATTTGAAGAGGAAGACGATTGAAATAAATACATAGATAATAGCAGGATAACAACCACAAATTAACGAAATGAAGGTCTATAGAACAAACAGTTAGTTGTTTTTAGAAAATTTGAGTAGCTTTTACTTACCTGAGATTCATGTTAATGAGGTTGGTTACTAAGAGAATGAAAGCTTCATAATGAAATCATGCAGCTCAGAGAGAATAACTTCACTAAACTATCATCTTTAGCTGAAATCGTATTCAAATTAGGTTTAATATATCAAAATAAGCTAATCCTTCAAGTTATACGGGGTTTAAAAGTGTAGAAAACACTAGATACCATGCAAAGAGAAAGTAGAAAATTATTTTTGCAAGTAGGAGGGTGAATATAAACGTCAAAACACAAGAGTAAATGATTTATGACTCTACATACATATTGAAACTCCTCATGGAGTCTCTCTGGAGCTACTGCTGGTCCCAAGCCGGGATAAATGAGAAGGGTTGGGCATAGGGTTAGCGACCCCATCCTTTAGAAAACTAACTCGCTAAAAGAACGCTAACCAGAGAAACGCTAAAACGCATATTGTGCATTAGTCTGAGAATTGTTCGATTATGACTCAAGTTACTTATTGTAATCAAGTAGTAAGAAAAAACACACAAAAATAGCTGAAAAGAAGGGTTGAAATTACAAATAACAAATAAGTCAATCTGCGAAGAATGCACACATGTTAATAAATACTGACCAACTGAACTTGGTAATACCAACCATAAACATGCAAACAATTACAAATATTTGGGTACATATTTAACAAACTGACGAGTATTTGACCAGATTAGCTTAATGGACTACTTGTAGCCTTTTGAAGCGTTAAACACTAGGTTTGAGCCTCACTATAAATATTAACATGCATGCAATTCTTTAAAGCACTAAAGCTTACTAGATATCAAAGAGTAGTTGCTTCCCAATTTCTGTCTTGTTGAAAAATGTGTATCGCTTCACGATTTTAATTAAACTGTAATTTTTTGGGGTGAACATTTTATATTCTAAAATATTTTGAGCGTAATATTACTAGTTCAAAAAAGTATACCTACCTCTTTTGTTCTTCATCAAATACGAAAGTGAAAATGAAACTCACTCTCCTGATTAGTGTAGTGGCTTAGCTTCGTTAATCAATCACATTAATGACCGTTATTATATAATTCTCAACGGTGTTTGAAATCAGAAGGCAGTAGGAAGAGGCGACTACAGTTGATTAGCGGATATCACAAACAACAAAGGTTTAAGAACATAGAATGAATTTGATGCCGAAAGGCGAATGTGTATGTGCGAGCAAATATGGAGGCAAATTTTTGGTCAAATCGAATTAAGCGTAGCTAGGTAAGGCATAAGCTAGTAATAGGATTTGAGTACATACATACACAGTGAAGAGAATGACACATCGATCGATATTTAAGCTATAAACATTTTAACTGGGGGGAGATAGTGCATAGGCTGTCATATGATCAAGCGTACACGTTTATACATATATTACAACAATCGTAGCAGGACATAGAAATAGAAGAGTTGTTACTGTTAGAATAGCATTATCTGTTAAGTAAGTTGATAAGAGGGCTTAACAAAACTTAACCATGATAAAAATTAATTGTAGAAGAGTCGCTATATTAGAATGTGTCAAGAAAGTTTATTTACTTCAAGTATATTCTACTTTATCAGCAGTAATTCATTCAATCATATCTCTTGCATCAACAAGTATCGATAGCTAGCTTACATGCATTTTAAACACAAATCAATATTCTTAATAACATTTCTTAACAACTTCTTGATTGATTGGCTAAAATCATGACTATGTTTTACTGAAGAAAAGTGTCATGTGTATTGTGTTATAAAATAGTTTGCACGCTTGCGGTTATACTGTGATATTCTCGATTTTAAATGAAGCAATTCACATTAACATTTGATTAAAGATTGATTGTATGAAAGTGAGTTTACTGCTACTAATTAAATTATTCCATTTGTTTACTCATTTTAAATGTTATAATTTCA